GAAGCTATGCTGTAAGGTATAAAAATTGAGATAAAGGCTTTGTGTCATTTTAGTAGTAACATTTTAACAAATCTCAGAACTGAAAAAATCCGTATTTGAAGGCAGCAGATAATGGAAATTTTCACTTAACCCCACTACAGGACAAGGAATCTTAGCTGATCTGGTGAAATATTAAACCAACACTTCAAGGATTATTTTGTATGGAAGGGATGTGCAAGTAACAGTTTCTTGTAATTTTTGACCAATTAGAATAAAAATTGGGACGTTTACCTTTAAGACCTTTAGCATTACATTAGTATTTGATAAGGCATGGAAAAATTGCTTTACAGCTTAGGGCATTGTCCTGGGTTCAGCAGTAGCAGTCATTTTTCTCCTTCTTGGTAGCCGGTGCAGTGCTGTGTTTTGACTTCCAGCCTGGGAACAGTGTTGGTGAAGCCGATGTTTTCAGTTGTTGCTAAGTGATGTTTACCCTGACCAAGGACTTTGTGAGGCTCATGCTCTGCCAGGGAGGAGGGGAAGCCGTGAGGAAGCAGAGATGGGGCGCCTGACCCAGGCTAGCCAAGGAGGTATTCCATACCACAGCACGTCATGCCCGGGGTGGGGGGTAACTGGGAGTTACCCGGAAGGACACGGGCTTCCGGGTGGGACTCGTTTTCTTGGCCGGTGGTATCGTATTCTCTTCCCTTGTTATTTTCCCTTATCATTGTTGTAGTTGGTAGTAGCGGTGGTGATTTGTGTTGTACACTGGTTGCTGGACTGTTCTTGTCTCAACCCATGGCAGTTGCACTCTTTCGATCCTCCTCCCCATTCCTCCGGGAGCGGGGAAGGGGAGAGCCCCGGTGGGGGGGGGCTTGATTGCTTCCAGCCTGGCACCACTCACTGGGAGTGAGTGAACAAGCTGTCTGGCTAGGGTTTAAACCATGACAGGCATGAAATACGAAAATGGTTGACTTAAAGTCATTATGACCATACACTAAAATTAAACCCTGTGCTGTTCATTAGAGACAGCTAAAATATCTGATGTTAAAAAACAAAGGCTGACTACTTTTCTATTTATAAATTCTCTGCATAATCTTATGAAATTTAATTCTACATGGATGCCTTGCCCTTTTCTTGCACGACAACCATGAATCTCGTTCTTTTCATGGACTATCACTTCTCCCCTGAAATGCCAAGTCCTGTTGCCCTTGGAGGGTCACGGTGGTCCAGTGTATCCTCATTTCTTTTCTGTGATTTTTTGGTCATTCTGTGCCTCCCCTGTTCACTGCATGCCTCCTCTACTGGGTGTCCTCCATGGGAAGTCGTAAGTCTTCTTTCTAAAAGTATGTCTCGTCCTATTCCATGTTGTTCTGTTGTAATACAGTCTCTTTCACTTCAGCTGAGTATCCCAATGCTCAATTTCCAAATTCCAAAAACAGGGACAGGAAAGACTTTGAAGAACTTCTTGATTTTGTTCAACTGACCTAAGAAAACAGCTCAAGTTAAGCTGCCTGAAATACTGTTTGCAGTATGAATTCTTACAGCAAAAACCATTTCAGAATATGAATATTTCTGATGCTTTAATAGGATTTATCTTCTTTTCCTTGACTTCTCCCATACTTTTAGGAGGGAGGGTTTGCGTGTTTCATAAAGGGCAGTTTAATGATACCTGATACCGACAAGGCACTCTGCTTTTGTTCCTTACACTAAAGCAGAGGATGTCAGAGAACTATTTGAGCATAAGGCAACAGACATTTCCTTCTTACAGTTGCTGAAGCCTGTGACAGAAGGCATACACACACATGATTCCCCAAAATACCTTGAACTGAATTCTTTAGCTGTATTGATACGAATGCCTTTGGCCTGAAAGCTGACAGCTTCTTGCAGTGCTTGTAAAATCCAAGCAAAGAAGCAATGAGATATTACCGCTGCTTTTGCCCAGCTCTTCTCTTGTGTCTTTCTTTGTCCATAAACATTTTGCAATAAGATTGGGATTTGCAGGTACACCATGAAAAATACATTGCTAGAGCACGAAGGAAAAAAAAAGTCTTTGTCAGAACCTACTTTTGTTTTGTTTCTGATGCTTTTCGTAAAACAAGAAATTAAAAATGTTTCCATTATATTCCTGACACATTCTACTAGAAATAATCAGGTTAATGCTCGCAGATCTCCATTCTATTCCTGCCCATTAGTTTACTCTAAATTATTTACATCCATGCCCTAGTTTATACCTATGTGAAAGAAATTTGCTATTTCTCTTTGAATTCTTGTTACAGAAGGATGAAAAAATACTACATTCAAGATAAATAACTTTTATTACTATGGCTTCAGAACAGACTTTAGAGAAAAACCTTTAGTAAGGTTAAGGAAGAAACACCTATGTTAGCGTTCTAGCACTATGAAATCTTGTCCTAAATCCTTTCAGACATGCTGAAACACCTTCTCTACAATTTTGCCCTTGCAATGTGGAGTATCCTTATTTCATGTGCACTGCACGTCTACATCTTCATCTACAAAGAGCAACAAACTGAAGACAATAAATAATGCAACAGGAGCTGTCCAAACCTGAAAGGGCAAGGGCTAAAGATCGTACTTCATGCTAAAAATCCAGAGACTTTAGCTATGGAGCCACCTCTTTGCATGAGTGAGTTGTGAGTAATAAGAGGAAAATAATATTCAGTATGGAAAGACTGTACAAAAGTGGGAACTAGGAAAGCCAGTCGGAGTAGTAAGAGAAGCCATAAATAACTTGCACATTTACTGTGCCAGACAGATGGGGGAACAGATTCCAGGAAGCATACCCAGTCTATGAACATGAACACATAACCTCTTCCTTCCCACCTACTTTCTCTCTTTCATTGCCATATAGAATAGAAACTTCAGGGGGAAAAAAGGGATTTTAGTCTAATACCTACCAAGTTGATAAAATTAGCAATAGCTAACAGTTAATGATGATTTCCTCATAAAGGGATGCTAAGAGTTACAAAATCTTTCCTAGTAGATAAATGGGACCTTTCTCAGCCATCTGTCTTACAAATGACCCCATACATACAGCTATTATGTCACTTAGACACTGGCAGCTCTGCAATTGTTCATGGTCTCAGTGAAGAATAGTACCTGCCATGCAGTTTCTGTGCTCCAACATTTAACAGACCTGTTTTCAGTTTGCCTGAAATAGAATAATAGAATCATAGAATAGTTAGGGTTGCAAAGGACCTTAAGATCACCTAGTTCTAACCCTTCTGCCATGGGCAGGGACACCTTCCTCTAAACCATGTCTCCTGGCCCTCCTGCTGCACTTCCTTCTACTTGGGATGCAACACTCCTGAGCCTGTGATCCTTGAATATCAACCAAGAGTCTTGGGCCTCCCTGCCCTCTAGGGCTGTATCCCATGGAACCTTACTAAGCAGGTTCCTGAAGAGGCCAAAGTCTGCATCTGGGTTGAGCTCCACTAACTTTTGTTAGATTGAGTCTCTTCCATGATTCAAAGAAAACAAACGCCATCATCTCTACCAGAAATTATACACAGAAGGTTAGACTGATGATCAAGAAAAAAGATGCCACCATGGTAAAACTGATCTGTGAAAATGCTCAGAAAATGAAGCAAACATTTTCTTTTTGTATCTTAAAGGATAAATGTACGAAAAAAAATGGAAAAGAACTGCCAAATTGTTATGTGTGAACTACAACAAAATGCTGCTTTGATTTTGCCTCTGATCCACCACAGATCTATTTCTTTTACAGGAAGTTTCATGCAGTTTGGGCATTGGTTATATATGGCTGTCATGGTTTAAGCCCAGCCAGCAACCCAGAACCATGCAGCTGCTCGCTCATTCCCCGCCCTGTTCCTCCCTCCGCGCCCAGAGGGATAGGGGGGAGAATTGAAAGAATGTAACTCCCATGGGCTGAGATAAGAACAGTCCAATAACTAAGGTATAATACAAATCACTGCTGCTACCACCAATAATAATAATGATAAGGGAAATAATAAGGGAAGAGAATACAACACCTCAGCACCTGCCAGCCAATACCCAGCCTGACCCGAGCAGTGATCTAGGCTTTCAGGTAACTGTCCCCACTTTATATACTGGGCATGATGTGCTGTGGTATGGAATATCTCTTTGGTTAGTTTGGGTCAGGTGTCCTGTCTCTGCTTCCTCCTGGCTTCCCCTCCTCCCTGGCAAAGCATGAGACTCAGGAAGTCCTTGGTCAGAGTAAACGTTACTGAGCAACAACCAAAAACACTGGTGTTATCAGCGCTGTTCCCAGGCTGAAAGTCAAAAACACAGCACTGCACTAGCTACTAAGGAGAAAAATGACTGCTACTGCTGAATCCATGACAATGGCATTCAACACTGGATGGATAACGTGCAATCCAGCAAGATTTACCTACCACGCAAAGTAATTTAACAAGGTGGCAATATTTTTCAACAGTACATTTTTGAGATTAGCATTTTGTAATTAGGATTAGGACCCCATTTAAGCCTGAAAAAAGAGAGATTGCAGCAGCCAGTTAATATTCAATGATTTTTCTCCAAGTAGCCCTCAGTCAAATACATGGGATTGTTTCTCTGTGTCTTTTTTTTTTGAAGATTCCCACCTTTAGTTTTATTCCCATATAGCAATTAAAATTACTTTTGCTTTGATAAAAAAATTATCAATAAAATTAGATGGCCAAAAGAAATTAGCAATAATTTGCAAATAGGTATTTCATAGCAAATTGAAAGAAAATTAACAAAGAAGTTCTTTTTAACCTATACAGCCTTTAGGTAGGACGCTAACTTAAACCTGAGCTAACTGCTGTTTAGAATCTCCTTGGACACAAAATCCTTCAAACTAGTTCCCATTATTTCTTTTTTAATTACAGTATTCTTTCTATAGAAAGCGTTCATCATGAGAGTGGAAACTAATTTTTATTCAGTTGTGCTAGAGTGAGATATAATTCTGCTGGACTGAAATATAAGTGTCATTTACAAATAATTTATATCTTTCACAGACAACTCAAATAATCCAAGGACAGTTTTTTTTTCATCGCAGTTAAAGTATTTAATGACAAAATCAGGGTTTCCAGAAATGACTCAAGAGAGCCGGTCCCGCTTTTTTCTTTCCCCAGAACAGTACAAAATAATTTCTACATCTTTGAGAACTTTCAAGGAACTGGTTACAACAGATACCAGCAAGTATTACAATTACCAGTATTACGATTCTGGTATATTATAGCAAAACCTACCTACCATTAAGATCACTACCATTAAGATCACTTTTTAGAGAGCACATTTTTGTTAATATTTCACATAATACACAACTTTTGCTAGACACAAAAGTAGCCTTTTAAGACAGAGTTTGCAGTACAGTAGTGAAACCTAACAGTATTTTTATTCTTTGCAGAACTTTAAAAACTACTGATGTCGTTACAATTTACAAATACATTCTTTCATATGAAACATTAACCTGAATTATAATATATGTTATATACATGACTATCTAATAATACTAGGTTGTATACACTACAAGCTCAGTTCCAGAAGGAAACTGCAATGTTGTAAGATTTTGGATAGACATTTATACGCCTCAAATTTTTTTTCTATAAACTACCATATTTTGTCATTTAATGAACAGCAAGAACAAAGTAAACACACAGACAAATCACTTTTCCTTCATTTAATAACACTAGGTTACTCAAAATTACCATAGAAAATGGCTTTTGATGGTTGTATTTAAGTCCTGAGTTATGATACGTAACACAACACACGTAAGTGGAGAACAGCAAAAAAAAAGTTGAAAAACTGTCAGTGAGACTAAAGCAATGTTTTAGAATAGTTCAACTCACAAAAGGTCTGGAACTTTACAGCGCAACTGTGACCTTGGCCTGTCCAGCTGATATTCATGTAAACACCTGAAAACCTATGCTTTTTTACCTGAATTTAGACAACTCATTCTTTTCAGGTTTATCTGGATTTTAGACATTTCTTCTAAATTACTGACAATCTTAGAAGACCAGCTAGATGGCAGCAGTTCAAAACCTATTCCTTCCTTCTCTCAAGAGAAATATGTGTGAGGTTAGCAGCAGAATGTAATTATCAAAAGAGTGGAAAGGATGATGACAGAAGATAGCTATGTGGTCAAGAAGGACTCCCGGATTAATTTCTAATGCAGCTATTTTTAAAAAACAGCCTAATATTTTGTCTCTAGGAGAAGTTTAATATTTAATGAGGTGCTGGTTTTCTGGCTAATTTGCAGAAATACCCATAGTTATTAGAAAAGTGCTCAGAAAGCCACTGACTTTTACAGGGCATACATTAATTGTATGTAGCTCAATGGAGTATTCAGAACTCATGTTGCTAATGAACCTGTTCTGATTTATAACAGATGTGGCCAAATTCTTTTTCAGTTGACAGTGCTGGGTGTAGTAACTATTACAGCTGATGCTAAACATATCTAAATGATCCTATGGTGCTACAGAGATGACAAATTTACCCCTTCTCTCAAATTCCCAGTGTGAAATTCAATACAAAGCTTCATACAAACCAGTTCAAATTACAGGAAAAAAACCCAAACAAACCAGATGTAAAGTCTGAATGTAATCAGTTAACTAGATAGTGTCTTTAATTCAAATGAGAATGTTTTTGTAAAGCCAAGCATCTTTTCACAAAATGGGTATTTCCAAGAGATTCAGTTACTTCAGCTTGCAGTAACTAAAATACTCTCAATTACTAACAGAAGTTTTTATCTCCCTTAGAAGCACTGCTCTGAGGACTTCAGACTTTTCTGAGTGTCATTTATAATGCAAAAATATTATTCTACATTAAAAATGAAAACTACAGTACATTCATATAATGCCAGCAATCTAGTAAGATGAGGACAAAAAATGGAGAGCAGGCATCTTTAGAAGATGAAGGCTGAAACCTCTGCTAGGATGTCTGTTTCCAGCTTACTGGTTTAAAAAAAAACCCCAAAGCCAAAGAAACAAAAAGGTGCAGCATCCTCCCCCTTTTCACTCCAAAGGTGTCTTAGATGATCTTAAAAAATGTTAAGAAAACAGTGGTGAAGGAAAAGAGTAACCTTTTTTTTAAGAGAATACAGTGCATATATTGCATATAGTGAATACAGAATGGAGTCACCCTTCCAGTGACAATATATATATTGTATATATACTGAAAACTGAGACACATACCAGAAGTTATGATACTAATGTACCAAGACATGCTTTTTTTGAAAGCCTCTATATTAGAAATCAGATCACTAGCTAACACAGAAGTCATTCGAATCAGACGAGTTTCTGAAGTGTTGGAAAATAGTGCATTCTCATTTTCCCACGCCTTTGCATTCTCATTTACATAGGCCTTTACTCACAGAATCACAGGTAAAAAGATGATGAAATGTTATTATCAGATTGCGGAATTCTACATTGTGTCTGAGGCACAGCTATGGTCACATTGATGTAAATCTTACTTTTCTCCTCAATTTTGAAACCTCAAGCATACATTCTGTAGGTTTCATTATACTATTCAAATAATCAATCCAGAAGTGAAAACAGGAATATGCATAATGCAGCTATGAAATTCAGATATGCACTTGTGAATGCTGGTGATGGCACATGCAAAACTTCCTACATCGGGTAGAAGAAACCAGCTTTTCTGTTTCTCAGGACAATGCAGTCTATTCTCCACTGGTTACAACCCCAGGTGTATAATTCCAACATTCTCATTCTGCTACATAAAATGAAAAGCATACCACTTCTTTGGATTTTATTTCCACACATATGTCCACAACCAGTTAAATAATTTTCCGTACAACTGGGGAAGAATATTACTATTTTAATCCTGATCAGCTTGTCATTTGGTCCAGTTCCCCTGTTTGCTTTCACTCCTGTAACAAATGAAATACAGGTAGAAAATACTGCAGGACTTTGTAGCAATATTACAAAAGAGGAACAAAAGTCAAAAAGGTAGAAATGCAACACTGTTTCCTGCACAGAAACTGAAAGAATGCATCTCCACTGAACTGGAAGAAAAAAAGCACACAGAAGTCTGGATCTCCTGTAAAAGATGCTGGATGTAGCCTTTTCAGTTTCTCTTGGGAAGATTTCAAGTTTGGGCAGTATTCTCAGCATTTGTGCTTCATGGCAAGCTGAAAAAGAAAAAAATAATTAAAGGGAGCTCACGTAACAATAGCTATATCAAGCTAATGTAGCTAGTTAGGATTAGAAGAGTTCGTAAACCAAATTCTCCAAAAGATGTCTGAAATCTGTAACTCCTTTGCACACAGATATGCAATCATTCCCTTTACTGTGATAGACGGGCAGAGTCTCTCTTTGCCACACTGAGGGAGCAGGATTTATTTGCTTTCATAGCCATATTTCCCAATGTTGCATTATTTTGCTATCTGTGAGGAGAGCTACAGCAAGAGGCTAGAAACAAAGATGTGCCTAAAGGAACAGTCATTTCGACTTCATGATTTGGATTGTGAAATACAATCAGAAATTCTAGGCTTGTTCAGCAGCAATGCCATTACATAATGATGAAAAATTAAGGACTGATTGCCTTTCTACCTCTGTAATTACTCATTATTTCTATTTCAAATAATTCAAAACTGTGAATGAGAGGGAGGGGAAAGAGCGAAAGTGATTTAAATCCTGTATAAAAAGTGTAGATAAACTGCAAACCAAGCAAATAACTGAAGTTCTAGGACCTGTATATTATCTGCAGATAACAGCATGGTAACAAAGCTGAGATGAGAAACTCACCTAGAAACCAGAACTAGCAAGAACTAAGAACAGTTAAAACTTCCTCATTTACTACCAGTGAAAATTTGACCAACAAATGACTCAAATTCAATTTGCATAAGCTTTTGATGCTGAAGGAGTTCTATAACACACTCACCACGGTATCTGCCTCATTTGGCCTTCCCCCTACCCTTATCCATCAACGTCCAATCTTACTGTCACCATCATTAAGGTGCAGTCAAACCACACTCTAACATACAGGACTACCCCACTGCCTCTCCTTCCTTGCCTATCCCTACTGAAGAGCTTATAGCCATACATTGCAACACTTTGACATTGCACAGCTGTGCAAGTCATCCCACCATGCTTCTGTGATTACAACTGCATCATAGTTTTCCAGCTGTGGAATGGCTTCTAACTCCTCCTGTTTGTTGCCCGAGTAATGTTCAGATATAGAAATTAACTTGTGAGAGAAATCTGTATCCAGTCATGATACTGTAGGGGTGAAAATAATTACAGATTGACATCTGAAAGTACATTTACTGTTTATTGAAGGCAGGGATAAAGCAACCAAAATCAGAACTCTGCTGAACGAAGTGCTCACACAAATACTATCAAGTTAAAATTGGTGCTCTTCTCACAGTCACTATTTTGTCAGAAAGTTCTAATTTTGCCATTTATGCAACACTCAGCTGGATCTCACTTTCCTGGTTTCACTGAAGTGAATAAGCTTTCACTTCTGTACAAACAACACCTACGGTCTCAGTAATAGCTGCCCCTCAAAGACTTAACCAGAAGAACATTAACAATAAACAATACTGTACTTATTCCTAAATGCTCCACTAAAAACCAAACAACCCTGTTGCAAACCAAAGCACATCACCATAAACCAACAGTCTTCTCTAACCTAATACATTCCTGTGTGGCTGCACCATACATTTTTGTGAGGTAACTGAAAAGGAATTGCAGGACTACTGCACTTCTAAGACACAATTCAAGACTTGGGGCACCAATACAGAAAATACTGAAAAAAAAAAAAAAAGCCGTAAACCCCATTTTACCACATTATCCTTATGATTGTCAAATGACAAGTATTTGTTCCCCTGAAATATAAAGATGTTATTTTCCTCTTAAAAAGTCAAAACCCAAGCATTTATTACGGATCCTTAATTACAATCCACTCAAAGACTCTCACACTCCTGTTTCAGGCAGCTGGTAATTGGGATAACTTCATCAGGACATGATTTCACATTCATCTGAAGAACAGTAGTAACCTCTAGAACTGGACTGGCAGATAGGTTTCATAAAACTCAGCCCAGGACAGTCCAAACAGAGATGACCCCTTCCTGCTCTGCATTGCTTAGACATTTCCTGCATAAAATATTCTCACTTACTGCCAGAGAGACATGTAAACTCAAATGACTATGAACAAAATCCAGATTGAGAAGTTTTTATTTGATTATAAAACCCCAACAAAACAATAAAACCCTTGTACTGTGGATGATTTTAGCTTCTCCATCATTTCTGCTACATTTTCCTTCAACTTTTGTTTTGAATTATTAACTCAGGACTTTTTTAAGCTTTTGTTTCTAAATATGGTACAGCACAGGCTATCAAAGATCATATTTTTATTGTAAGACTGTATCCATCAATCCTAAGATTTTTAAAGTAGGATTTTCAAAGTATGATTCTCCTAAGATAACCTGATAAACAGCTTTGGTTTTGGCTCACAGCACATCTTCACCTGTGGAACTGCTGTTCTGCACATGTGAAGATGAAAGAGCAACACACACTATTCAAATCTTGTTCAAGATTCATACTGGCTCATATATCAAGACGCATGTTTCACTTTCAAACTCCTTACCAAGCAGCAATCTATGCTTTATGCTACAGCAGCAAACTTTTTGCCCCCTATCCTAGAAGCAGTGGCAGCTGCTGCTTAAGGCTGGCTTACTAAATTGGCATAGTTAGCATCACAGTGTGTGGGAGAAGGTGTTAGTGTTAGATGGAAGAGTCCAGGAGCAGGCTTGTGCCATACTCAGACCACTAAGTTGAACCATGCTGATCTAAATGGACCATGAAGTATAGGATTATCCCAGTAAATATTAATTTGTTTTGTGACATGTTAAAGACAACATAAAACAGAGGTTTGTATAGAACTGCAAGATACCAATGCAGGATTTCCTACTGTTAATGCAGTAGCCCAGCATTTTTTTGGTGCAAGCACGATAAAGCCTAACGCATGTGTGTTAAGCAGCAAAATTATTGAACTTGCATGCTAAAATAGTTAAGCACATTCAGAAAGCTTTTACCTTTAAAAAAAACAAAACCCACAACATTTTATCTGCTGTGGATGTGTTACACAGCCATCAAATCAAATGCTTTGGATGTCGAATTTCCGTCAGAGATGGAAGTTCAGCACAATTATCCATATGCAGATGCATCAGGCATAGTACTGTAATACCTTCCAGCAAGCACAGAAAACGTCCATACATTCCTGAGACAGAATGATTCCTCAAAATCCTCCTAAATCACATTTCCAGACATAAAAAGATACATCTTCAGAAACAGACAGATAATCACTGCTTATCAAAGGGAATTAACAACAATTTTACTCTACTGCTGCACAAAGTATGAGTAATTGTGCCAAACAGTAGTGGGAAGATGGATCTGAAATAGGCTTCAGGAAACTGAAGACAGGTAGTTTCAATTCAAGCAGAAGTGCAGCAAGGCTCAGATCTGCACACAGAAGTTATAAACCAGAAATCTGCCAAGTGAGGAAATTTATCAAGGAAAACAATAAGCTGATTGTAAACAGTAATGGACTGCAATTCTTCCCAGAGCTTCCTCCTCTTGAAATAAAGGAGCTCGACTTTAAGCTACTGAGAGCCGTATCCCACCCAAATCTTACCTTGTGTGCAGTTTCTGCAAACTGCTGAGCACTGTTTTTCAGCTCCTCTGTCTTTTCTTCTGCTCGACCTAGCCTTTCACCACGCTCATTCAAAGCCTGACTTGCCTTTTGTACTGCACTTGTCACACTGTCTGCTGCTGAATGGAGTATGCTGTTTCCTGCAATATCAAAAGAAGCTATTAGATATATGATTAGTATTCAATACAATTATTATCATTTACAATGTTCCAGAGCTGATGTGTTACCTGCTAATTTACCACCCAGCTGCATTTCGGAAAATGGGGTAAGTTATTGTTTTCTCATTCAATCTGTACTATTAGCAAATTACAAATATGGTATCATATGGTAACATCATACTTGAGAGTAGACATAACTTAGCTACGTATTATTCTTTAAGCCTTATGCTCAAACATAATTTCAGGGAGCTATTCTATTACGTCAATTAAACCATTCACAAGTGCACACAGGTTCCTTCACAAGACTCTCACTTTAATATAGATTAACTTTTCTTTGGAAGTTCCACTATTCCCCTAGAGAATAAATGATTGACAGCACCAGACACATCTTCATGAAAACACCATTTACAACTGTACTCCAAAAACTATTACCACACTTATTTTATGCTGTTTTGATCTATCTGCCTTTGACCCTTCTCTGTGTGGGGCACCTGCCATGCTTCATATGACAACATACTTTATTTAAACTTTAGTATTTAAAGTCCCACCAAGTCTCAATATCTTCTAAACCTTTAGCTCTATTAGCTTTACCATCCAAATCAACTTAGCAGTTTCTGAGTTTCTTCTCTGGCACACAATGGAGAAGTTTCTTCAAGTTTTCAACAGAACTGTACTTCTACTTTACATTTATCCCTTTTAAATGCTCACCTTTGTAAGTACTCCTTTCTATATTGCTTCTCAACAGAAGGGATTATCCTTTTTCTGAGCTGCTGCTGAATATTTATAATATGAACCACAGTACCACCTGAAAACCCTCCAGAGAAAGTTACATGCTACCAGTATGAACTGATCAGTACGAAAAATTATTTTGACCCAGCCTTTAACCTTTGTCAGAAAAAGTACTAGTAAAAATTCAGCTTTTTGCAAGACAGGAGGTTGCCCCTTGGTGTCTTCCAGAAGCTTTTGAACTTAATTTACCTTACAGGGAATTTGTTATCTAGGAATTTGTTGTCTAAACATATACAAAGGCATCGTGAGAGCCAGAAAGTCCGTACAGAGAGTATTAATCACCAGGCAATGATGTTGCTGCCAATTTTCTAAACTGACCCAAATACTATAATTGCACAGAGCCTTTTTTCACAGTGCGAAAACCAAATACGTAATGGTTTTAAATGAGTTATGCTGCTAAAGGTACAAAAACTAGTTCAACACATGAAGCTGACCCAAGCACTACAGCAAATCTGCTGTTATAACAAAGTCTGCTGTTCTTATGGATGAAGGAAGACTAGTGAAAATGAACACAAACCCACAGCTTTCATTGTTAACTTGAAAAATGCATCTACTTCAAAAATATTGCCAGGTTAGAAAAATAAAACCAAAACATTAACTTGAAGGGTTATTTTGTTATTATGTTCATGAGGAAAAAAATAAAAGACCCATTCAGACTCATTTTACAGCTAATACCCCTTTCCTTAGAAACAGCAAACAAACAACAAAGAGCAAAACTGAAGGCTGCCTCAAGTAGCCTGTGGAACAACAGTATCAGCTGCCCATGCAGGAACTCTTGAGATGAAAAACTGCCTTAGAAATTCATTAAACTAAACCACTACTAGTATCAAAATATGGATGTGGGGGAAGGACTAAAGAACCTACACACAATGACTCACATCTGATGAGTCAATATTAGAAATACCACGCAAAGAGCACCCTGACCCCCTGTATACCAATACTGTTAGATTTTTTATATCAGTAATTAAGAGACAGAAATGAAACTTCATCTTTTAAGTGGCCTCTCTTCAGACACTGAGGAGTCTGATAATGAAACCAAACAACTTTAAATATTGTATACTTTCTTACTTCAAGATTTTTCAGTCAATTGCTATTTTATTCATAATTTGCTTGTTTAATGACAAGCTCTTAGGAGATTATTTTGGCTTCTGTTCAGGTAGCTCTTCCAACACATGTAACTGGGCAACACTGCACTGGAAATAGTTTCCATTTTTTGGAGATGTGATCAAAAGACTAACTTCTTGCATAAAATGCTGCTAGTTTTCTAGTATGAGAGTTTTAAAAGCTCTCAACAGTGGATTAACTGCTGTATACAAGATCACAGAGCTTCTGCTTAACTCAGGAGAAGCTGGGCACATGGAGGGACCAATAAAAGCAAGCATCGTTTGAAGACTTACAAATGTGCTCGGTGGTAAAAGTTAACGTATTTTTGATCTTTTTAAATTTCAACAGGAAACTGCAGAATGAAAATATTCTGTATTTTCTGTATTCCTGAAAATATCAGGATTTATAGCCAAAGATTGATATCTATTTTTCCACTTTCTTTTCAGCACAGAAGAATGAACTTGGAAATTTGGCACAACAACGGTAAATTTGTTTCTCTCTAGCTAATACAATATTATGTTCTCTCCAGGTTAAGATCTGCTGCATTTTTCTACGGGTAGTGACTTGCAGAACCTGCTATTGTGAGGCTGCTTTGGAGAACCTTTTGGATATTCTTTTCCAATGGCATGTTAGTAAAACAATAGAAAAAAAAAATCCACTCTAATCTGTGAGCAACACAGAAACCCATGTATCATGTACTGTATTTCATCAGTATATTTCTAGGGCATCTGTAGGTGGTTGCTGGTATGACTATGCCTTGTCCTTCTATTAGTATCACTACAAGAATAGCAACACTTACACTGGATGTTTTGGAGAAGCATTCCTACGAACAAACCACCTTCAACCTGTAAAATTTTAAGCTGTTCTTTAGGAGGTAACTATTGTGATTCAAGATTTTCAGAGAAGTTTGTTCCGTGAGTGAACAATAAAACCACCTGAACTGCACCCACTTAGGTGCAAACTTACGCCAGTATCTCTTTCCTAGAGTCTGGAAAGACTGTTTTCCAGCTCTGCTTAGTTTTTACCGAAGACGTGACAACTGCTGTTTAACCACCTCCACTCCCTCTTCAGCCCCTCCCCTAAAGAGTCTGAGGGATTTCAGGACTTCTCATCTACTGTGTGAGAGATACAAGTTCCTTAATTGAAGACTCACCTGCTTTTCACATAGATCTTCTCAGAAAAAAGATTTTGTAACACTTGCAAGATGAGATAAGCACCACCAAAACATGGGCATGGGTCAGCTGATGTTCTGAGCTGTTTTTAGTAGGAAAGAGCTCACAGTGTTCCCAAGATGTTCAAGAGTCTGCAATCTCAAATTTTGCATGGCTACAGTCTTCACTGTGAGCAGTCACATGCCTGTGTCGCTGCTTTTTCTAAGGTATATGGAGATCCATTTTTGGAGCACATGTACCTTTCTATAGCTCTGTAAAACAGATCTCAGAAGTATGAAACTAAACTAATCAAGCTTAATATAGTGACCTTCTTCAGTTTAATTTTTCTATCTACAAAAACACAGAAATATATTGCTAATTTATTTTCAGTTACTTAAAGAAGTGCCTTAAAAAGGTCACTTTATATTTTTTTCTTCTGTAATACTTTTATTATCTGAATTTGTCTACCCAGCAGAGAAGACAACACAGATTTCCAAAGCAATCAATAGCTACAACTGTATTGCAATAGTAATACAATTTGCTAAGAAAATTAAACATTCTGAATTTGCTGTAGTGAAATACAAACCACTAGAATTAAACTCCCCTCTCCCCTTAGAAAAATCAATTAGTGACCTGTATAATTATATATAACATTACTGGGGCCCAAAGAAGAAGAAATAGTAGAAGGGCAGCTGCCCTTAGGCGAGTGCTTTAGACCAGTGATCCTAGCACTGTTACTTGCTTAGGGACACAAAACCTGAAAGAGTAACACTTTGCAGGAAGCACCACAGCTCCTCTCACACTCATTTTTACAATTTTGGCTCTTAAAATCACCAGCTACATCAGAGGGTCTTGCAGCCCATGAAAACATGTGACATGTCTTCAGGCCTTTTATCATGCACATCCTTAACCCAACATACCCAGCACCTGAAAGATACAGACATACTATCATCAATCAGCATGGGAAGTGGTACGTTTGTTGATGAAACTAACTGGTGTTTAGAGACTACTTAGTTTGCATAACTTGTTTTAGTTTGCATAACTTATCACACATTCATTAAAGGTTCATCGCATTCTCCATTAGCCATATCAAACAGGGATTTATTTATACATTAGTGATGAGTCTACATTGACTAATTGGTAAATGCAGGCACTCACTTTTTAATTCTATATGCATTAATACAGCATTTAGCAACTACCTTCTGAGAAGGAAGTAAACACAATTAGCTATGATAAGTTCCATCTATCATGATTTTTTTTAAACAAAAATGTGTCCATTGAACTGCATAAAACTGGACCTGTGTCACTGAATAAATGTTAACAGCATAATGACAATCAGTTCATTAACAAGACCATTTCTATCACATGGTAATTATTCTAAATGTCTACACATACTATTCACATTCAGATATACACTGGTGCCACTAAAAGTTCAACAGAAGTTTGGAAGCACTTACTGTAAATACAAAGAATATATTTTTTCTCCTTCACTATTTTGTGTTTTGTTAACTGCCTGTGCACTCTTTACATAAGAACTAAAAGCACTGAAAAGTTAAAGTATCAACAGAAAACTAAAGGGATATAGGGAGAAGAGAAAGGTGCTGAACAATTAAAAAGAAGATATCCTTGCGAAAGAGGGAAGCATCACAGAGATGGTTTTGTAAGCGGGAATGTGGTCTGGAGAGGAGGCTATATAGTACAGCACTATTTTTCCTCCCAGACTATTTCAAAAACTTACTGAATAAAAAGCTTAAATTGACAAAAGCCAAATACAGGAAAAAAAACACAAAACAACCAAAACCCCCCAAAAAACCCAAACAACACCACACTAGGAGGGGAAGAGATCAATATAAATTCTGGACTTCCTCGCAAGGAATAGTGAAAGAAACCTTAAGACTGCATTTCTAATTATAGCTAGGAATTAAGATTACCTTCTAG